TCTCTCATTTCCTCATAAAATATAGCATTATTTACAAACCACATAAAGCACAGAAAATTGCTTTAATGGTAGTAAATATGTATTATCATTCTAAATCAAGCCATAACTAATGACACTCTGGGAAAGGTTTAGTTTATACTGAGGCTAGGTGTCTTGCAAATGAAAAGCTATTTAAGTGCTAAAATCAATTGACTATATAATACCATGTTTTCTGATGGGAATAGTGTACAAAAGATGCCTGGAAGTTGTTTGTTACAATGGCTAAATGAGATTCTACCTCTGGTTATTATCAACCCATACATTCATCATTATAAACCACTTCATTTTTATTTTATTATATTGATTTACCTTAGCACCCAAGATAGTTTGTACTCCTACAAAATTCAGAAAACATTGATTTACTTAAATTATTCAATACTTTACTGTATGGCTATTATGTCATTTAACATTTTAGACAAATCAATACAACTTTTTTTAATTGCCTGTCACATACCTAAGGTATCGCAAATGTGTTTTGCTGGAATCATTAATTTGCACTATGCTGATAACATTTTTATAAATCAACTAGTTTAAAACAATAAAGTATCACATGTGGGAAAAAAGCACTAGGATATGAAATGAATAATTTAAACTAGTTGGACTATATAACACTGCAGAATACTTTATCAAGTTTCTAATAATTCTATTTCACAAATAGCTAAAAGGTAGGCTTCTGTCTTCTGTCGACAATGTGTGTGTGTGTATACATGGATACGTATATAAGTACGAATATATATATGTGTGTAAGTATATGTATTCTCTGTTAAATGCTACATAGTGTAATATATAGAATGCTAAGTAAGCTCAATATAATGTTTGCTATTTTGAGAAATCAACTGTAGATAATTTTGACTAAAATCATAGTAACCATTGTAATGAGAGGAAATACATCCTTCAGAGGATGTTTACTATATTTGTAAAATAAAAGAGACTGAGGAAGTTAATAATTGAAATGGTAATAATGAAGGTATATAGCACTATGATTATTTAAAAATGTTACTTCCACTTGCACATATTATCTTCTTTCTGATCATCCTAAAAGGAGTTAGTATGAAAGTTGGGTTGATTCTCCCACCTGGAAAATAAGCCCTACATGGGCAGAGATTTATGTCTGTTTTATTCATTTTCCTATACACATAATACCTGTAACATTCCTAACATAGGTGCTCAGTAAATATTCATTCAATGAGCATTGCATCAAAAGTATAATTTTGTCTTTGATTTAATTGGGGTACAAGCGCAAGCCACTTGGCGAACCTATATGTGTAATTTCCTGCAGTCTTAAATAACATTGAATGAAATGAAACATGTGCAATTTAAAAAGGTATCAAGTGACTGGGCGTGGTGGCTCACGCCTGTAATCCCAGCACTTTGGGAGGCAGAGGTGGGTGCATCACCCGAGGTCAAGAGTTCGAGACCAGCCTGACCAACATGGAGAAATCTCACTTCTACTAAAAATACAAAAATTGCCAGGCACAGTGGTGCATGCCTCTAATCCCAGCTACTTGGGAGGCTGAGGCAGGAGAATCGCTTGAACCAGGAAGGCAGAGATTTCAGTGAGCTGAGATGGTGCCATTGCACTCCAGCCTGGCCAACAAGAGTGAAACTCTCCATCTTAAAAAAAAAAAAAAAAAAAAAAAAGTATCAAGTGTTTAAGTGGACACAGTTACCATAATACATGAAAGCTGAGTTTGAACTTTAGTAATATTTCTAAAATGTTGTCTATAATATAGCAGAGCTTTAAGAAGAATATAACAGTCACCCAACATTAGAATAGCCAAATTATAGCCAGATAGAAACCACTGGCATTTTGTAGAATAACTTTGCATTGCCACTTGAATGATTATGTTCTAGTGACTTTCCTGTCAATTCAGTTTCACGATGTCAAGTATCAGAAAATTTTAGTATTACCTAGTTAAATGTAAGAATATTGTACCTGTGAAGAATTAAAACTGTATAAGTGTGTTGAATTACCATAATTATTTACTCATTGATTTTCAAACTACTATGTCTGAAGCATATAAAAAATCCAGAAACAGTCATAGATAATTTCTTGCAATTAAAACACTTTATATCTGAGAAAAAGAAGAAATTAATTAATAAGAGCTTTCAAAAGAAGTGTGTGGAGAATGATAGGCTACAAGAAGAACGGGTTGTAGGAATATAAATTATATTAATGCTTCTAATACCATATGTGGTACAGGACCATTTCTCTTACAAATTGTCACAGACCAATACTTTTGAAAACACCCCCAAAATTGAAACTCTATAAAAATGAAATTTTAAGACATAAAAAAATAAATCACAATTTTTAAGTATTAAATTTAACAAGGAAATGTGTAAAAGATGTAAAACAATTGCAGCACCAAAAAATACAAAAAAAATGTACATGTGGATCATTGAAAGTGAGCATTTTGCAGTTAAGACAATCACTATTGCACTTGTAACTTTTTGTCATCATACATTATAATTAACCACAAATTTGTGAATGAAGTAGCAGTTCCCTGTATCAAAAATCTTTAGGTCTGTTTTAATCAGATACATGAATTTAAACATTTTTTAATGTGATGAATGTCCACACTATTTCTCTATTAATTTATCACATCTAAAGTAGATTATAACCTCATCAACCACAGGACGTAATGTGTATTTAAACTCTTCTATTATTTGTTTAAAAAATACTTATGGTAGTTTAGTCAGTCTCAGAGATGCATGTTGACAGGAGTGGGGGAAAGGATTATAAAGCAAGTTCAGCATAAATATTTATAATTTTTATCTAAATAAGGAAGTTACGCTGTATTTTTGAAATTAATTAACCTAAAGTTTTACAATTTAAAGCTGTTAAATTTCAGTAAGTTTTTGATAAAAAATGAAACAAACAAACAAAAAAACAGATTCAAATCCATGAATCTCCTATGGTTGTATCTATTTTGAGAAAAAATGAAACACAAAACATTGTATTAAATTCATAAGGAGATTGGTGATAACTTTTTCAGCGATGTACAATAGTGAGATGATGACCTATTTCACTGATAATTGTTGTTAAACTATGAAACTTGGCATAACAATTCTTAGAAGCACTTTTTTTCCAAACTTCTGACTTTCCTTTGTGCCCTTTGATCTTATCTGCTATTTAAAATAGCCAGGTACAATGTTGTCTTTCTTCCTTGTGTGTAGAAATTAAAATCATTAAAAATACCAAATATATGAGAATTATAAGCAAGTTTGCCCAAGTCATATCTTTAAAAAGCTGGGATCAAACTGGACCATTGTGTTACAGAAACACTGAGAGTTTCTTCTGTAGTTCAAATTTTCCCAGCTGAACTTTTGCACTTGAAATATCATATTTTAGCATGAAATTCCATTTGTTTACAATTGTTTTTAGAGAATTCCTTTATTTCTATATTATTACTTAATAAAGTGTAATTTGATTTTAATACATGTGTCTTTATATACAATGATTTTGACACATATCGCTAAATGCTAATCACTAAATACGCTGTTTAGTTTGTGTGACTTCTTTTTCATACCAAGTCACTCTCAACATAGAAAATAATTGTTGATGTATATTTTGGTGTGACACCTTTAATTTGATGCACTTTTGCCATTAACATGTATCCTATAGAAAAAGAAGTCCACCTCACAGTTTATCCCTCATAGTTTTATATTGCTCACAACTAGTGTGTTTGTTTGCAATGGCTGTGAAAAACAGAAAGATTTAATATTTCATATCACCATTATGTTCAAATAGTAACTATATAAAAATATGCTAACAATATCTGCATTTTTCAAGTTGCAATAAAAAGACTTTGCTGACTTTATTTGTTCAGTGAGTTGGTCTTTTATATCTTTAACCAATTTCTGACTATGCCCAGGTAAGAGGGTCATTGGAAAGTGGACTGTGAGCCTCCCTCTTTGCAACAGATTCACCTAACATTTGTAATCACGTCTTTAATGCCATCTCACACTAATGTGAAATATAACGAATTTTGAAAAATGTCAAAATTTATTTGAGCTGGGCTGTAATTATCATTCTGAGGGCAAAAAGGAAAGATGCATTTGCTAATGATGTATTTTTAAAATGTTCTCTCCATGAATTCTGAAGTGTCCTAGCCAGAAGCATATTCCGTAGGCATAGTCTGTGGGTTACAGTTTGTACATTAAGTTAAATAAAAATTGTCAAGGTATTGTGCATACATTGAAATTGTTATTTATTGTTACTTTTTGTAATATTATGTCTTTACACTTTATGCTTGATAAAAGCAATTTTTTTCTATCACATGTCATGCATTCAGTCAAACCCATCCCCACTTTTACACCCATTATTCATGCCTCTATACAGAATTACCCCAATTCTTTGCTATGGTAATCACCACTTACATAATACATATTAGGTTAAACATTCTCTTAGATGGGCATAATTAAATTTAAATAAACTCTGTTTTCCCTTTCAAAAACTCTATTTAATAAAGTTGTAGCACTATTCCAGTTTCAAACTATGTATTACACATTATTTTCAGTGTTTAATAAAGTTAGTGACCATGTCTTATTCATCATTATATATCTGACTTTTAACATAGCAGTGGGCACATAGAAGGTCTTTAATGATTACTTGTTCAATGAATAGCTGAATATTACAACCTGTAATGACATAGGTTGAAATATAACTAAGTGCTTTTCAGATTCTCCATTCATATTACTTTTCTTAATCTCTCAACTGGATAAGATAGTTCCTTACTCTGCTTCTGTTTAGATTTTACTCATTAGAACACATTTTGTTTTCAACAAAGATATTTTTTTAAAAAAATGAAGCTAAATTAAATTGCTCTCTTCTGAAAACTTTTCACTGAATGTTATTAAAATAAAATGATTTACAAGGCCCACCAGGCCATCTGTATTAGTCAGAGTTCTCTAGAGGGACAGAACTAACAAGATTTACTAAGTATTAACTCACATGATCACAAGGTCCAGCAATAGGCTGTCTGCAAGCTGAAGAACAAGGAAGCCAGTCCAAGGCCTGAAGCTGACGAACCTGGAATCCTGTGTTCAAGGGCATCCAGTATGGGAGAAGGATATAGACCCAGAGGGTAAGCCAGACTAGTCTTTTCACATTCTTCTGCCTGCTTTTGATTCTGGCCAGGCTGGCAGCTAATTAGATGGTGCCCACACATTTTGAGAGTGGGTCGGCCTTTCCCAGTCCACTGACTCAAATGTCAATCTCCTTTGGCAAAACCCTCACAGACACACCTAGGAACAGTCATTTGCATCCTTCAACCCAATCAAGTTGATACTCAGTATTAACCATCACACCACCCTTGAGTGGATGACTGCCTGCTTCTCAGAAATGAGTCTCTGTCACCTTTCTTTATTCTGTGTGTTATGCACACTGATTTTCTAATATTGTTTTCTATGCACAAAGTCATTCCTGCCATAGGGTCAATACCAGATAGATCAGACCAAATTTTCAGAACCAATAGTACAAAAAATTAGTGGTTCATACCTGATAACAATTAATTTCTCTCATACATACCCAATTAGGGTAGACAAAGGAGCCTTTAACTTGCTGTTCTGATAGCTACCTATGGTTTTGTCTTTGCATTACTGAAGCCATCAGTGCCATATGTGGATTTCTTACCACGGGAAGAAGAAAACAAAAAGTAACTTCTTCGTTAGATGGATGACCTGGAAGTTGAACATATTTCCTCTTAAGAGCCCGTAGGTTGCTCATTTCACAGGGCCACATCTAACAGTCTGGGAATGTAGTCAGTAGCTGTGCAGGTATGTGTTCTGTTTAAATTTAGAGGAAGTTGTGTTTATTAAAAGGAAGAAGGAGAAAATGAACAACTGGGGAGACTGCCTGGCTCTTATACAAGGTCTTACATGTGCTATTTCCCTTGCCTGAAATGATTGGACCCCATATCTTAAAATGCTTAGTTCCTAATTGCCATTCAGGTTTTAACCAGAATTAATCTCCTCAGACAGGTTTATTTTAACCACCAGTGCATATGGTCAGAATTGTCACTTTCTATCATGTTATTATTGTTTTCATAACACTAATCCCTACTTGAAAACATTTTGCCCAATTATTGGCATATATTTCTAATGTACGTTTAAGCATATTGTTCTCTTTTTGTTTCTGCATTGAAATAAGTGCAGGTAGTTTCTTGAGAGCAGAAAATTTGTCCATGTTTTGCTCTATGCTTCCTAAACATGAATCAGTGTCTGGTGCATACTATCTTTTGAATAAAAGTATGCAATGAATGAGCAGGATTTTATGCATCTGAGATCGTTTTAGCTAGTCGCGGTGGCTCAAACCTGTAATCCCAGCACTTTGGGAGGCCGAGGGGGGCGCATCCCCTACGGTTGGGAATTCAAGACCAGCTGGCCAACATGGGGAAGAAACCTCCTCTCTACTAAAAATACAAAATTAGCCATGCATGATGGCGCATGCCTGTAACTCCAGCTACTCAGGAGGCTGAAGCAGGAGAATCGCTTGAACCCAGGAGGCGGAGGTTGCGGTGAGCTGAGATCATGCCACTGCACTCCAGCCTCGGCAACGAAGAGTGAAACTCTGTCTCAAAAAAAAAAAAAAAAGAAAGAAAGAAGAAATAGCTTTATGACATATGAAGAAAATTATCTTTCCTTATTTGCTCTCATGTTTGCATGACACAGATAAATGTGGCATTATTAATATAATATTATTATATTACATATAACAAGTATTACATTGGAAGCAATTAAGATCATTATTTTAAAGACATTTTCACTTTGATGTATGTACAACAGACAATCAGTTCTTTAGTGAAGATCCACAGTAATGTATTTTCTTAACTTTATAGCTCAACTCATTTCTGAACAGTGTAACTAAATATCTGAAGTATTTCTACCTAAAATATTTCTCCCAGAAAGGTAACTTGATCCTTGTGAGTGTGCATTTTCATTGCCAATAGCACAGCTATTGTGGTAAACAAATGCAATTACATCTGTAAGTGTACAGTTATATGTGGAAATTGATGGCTTCAATTCAATTGTAAGAACTGAAGCTCATGTTAAGAATGCTACATATAACGTGTGACTTTTTAGTAGTTTTGAAGGAGAAACAATTTATAAATAGAAGAAGAGCACTTCAGAAAATAGAATTGTATGTATAATTTCTGGAAGTAAGAATGACCCGGTTAACGTAGCCTCAGATGATCAAGGGGAATCAGTTGATAGGCTTGAAAACAGTTTTCTTTCTTTTTTATTTTTTTTAATTTTTATTTATTTATTTATTTATTTATTTATTTTTTATTATACTTTAAGTTCTAGGGTACATGTGCATAATGTGCAGGTTTGTTACATATGTATACTTGTGCCATCTTGCTGTGCTGCACCCATCAACTCGTCATTTACATCAGGTATAACTCCCAATGCAATCCCTCCCCCTTCCCCCCTCCCCCCTCCCCATGATAGGCCCCGGTGTGTGATGTTCCCCTTCCCGAGTCCAAGTGATCTCATTGTTCAGTTCCCACCTATAAGTGAGAACATGCGGTATTTGGTTTTCTGTTCTTGTGATAGTTTGCTAAGAATGATATGGATGCAGCTGGAAACCATCATTCTTAGCAAACAGTTTTCTTTCAAATGCCTTTTTCAAATGCACAGCTACTTTTGTTCTGTCAACTTCCCAATTCGCAAATTCTAGACTTTGATCCTAAAATATATTTAATCACCAGTATCCCATGATCTTTCTGGTTAACTCTTTTAAATTTTTTTGCTTGTGAAGGGCAAATTGAACATTAATTAATTTAATTTTTGTTAACATTATCTCCAAATAATCAGATTTGGTAGCATCCCATTACCAGATTCCCTTACATGAGACAATCTCATTAACAGACCCCTGAGATGTCACTTTAGATCCATTTGGTAAGAGAGATACAGACATAAACTCATTATGTGATGCACTCTCCATTCTTAAATTGATGAGGTTTGCTCTGGCTATTGTTTGAAAGCAATATAGTTATTATGGAGTATTTCTGGAAGGGCCAAAAAGCAAAGGTTTAAAAACAGAAGGGAAAAAGAAAGGAAGGAAGGATAGAAGGGAAGAAAGAAATTAGCAATGAAAGGTTGGAAAAGTGAAATTATAAGTTTGTTTCTTAATCACATTGTACAATAAAAATATGTTAATTAAAAATTATAGAAACATTTGTGCATGCTTTACTTAACTCCATAGAGCTATTGATTCTGATTCAATGCTATTAAATTATTTGACAACGGAAAAATATAAATACATATTCTTATCATTTCCACCAAAGGTAGTCTTATACCTTTAAGATAATTAGTACTAAAAGTGTATCTATTATTTGGATGTCAGTTAAGCAATTAACAATAGGTTAAGTCCAATGAATATATTGGGTTAGGAAATGTAAGATCCTGCCTCACTTCAGTTCGCTCTGCTTACTGAAATACTGAGGTGTAACTAGTGATGAGGTGGTCATTGCTCAGGGAACCAGAAAATAAAGCTTCTTTCTTTGTTCTATCCAACTGACATTGATACAAACTGAGGTGCTGGGGCAACATTATAACTGATAAAACCAAAAGTGTCTTGACAGAAATATTCTTTCACTTCTAAGCAAGGTGAGAGTCTGCATTTCTTGCCTTGGGAATATTTATGGGACTGAAATGAAGAACTCTAGGAAGACGAGTCTTTTTCAGTTTTACTTTTGTTAAATACACAAGCTTTGCTTGTAAAAAAATAAAAATATTAAAAAAATGCTACAAGATGTACAACTAAGAATAGCAATTTTTGTCTCGTCTCCTCCACACCTCTGATTTCTCCTCCCCAAAGACAAATTGATATCACCCATTTCACTGTTTCTTCTGGCATATTTCTCCGTATTTCTAAATAGTGGTATAATGCATATTACCATTTAGAGACTTTTTCATTTTAGAAAACAATTAGCTGCCTACTAAGAAAGATAAGAATGTAACCGTCCTATTCAATGCCTTCTTTGTCAGTTTCCTTGTGAGACACTTATCTCAGTACTCTCAGATCTCAATTTCTGACTCAATAGTCAGCGGTTACATTTTTATAACTATAAATAGCATTGAGAACAGACCCGCATGACCTATGATGATTATGGTTACTGATTTTGACAACATCTTGCTTTTCTTGGCATCAATAAGTATTTCATCTAGGTGTCTTTTCTTTCTGCCTATCACTGATTGATTAACCCAGACTTTCTGAGAGAACTATGAACCTCTTCTCAACATGTTTAAATACTTTTATCAGGTAAACTATCAATTCCATTTTTTCTTGTATTCTTTCTTCCTGAAACACTGTCAATTCCATTTTTTCTTGTATTCTTTCTTTCTGAAACACTCTGTCTTAACCTTCCAATTTAAATGTACTCTATTCTAGACTGGTTACACCGATATTGTCATGGAACTTGTTTTGATTGTATTCCTGGGAAGTCTTGTTGCTTTGTCCTATGTTAAGTACTTGCTTCCCAATTCCAGTATTAATGTTTTCCTTTCAGGATTAAACTTTATTGATTTTATTAAGTATACTGTCCAGTGGTTTCATGAGGAACCATAAAAGAAGGTAAACATTTTTAGAACTTGCCAAAATAGTCTTGTTTATAGTCTCAAAATTAATAGATATTTTGGTTAGACATGACATTCTAAGTTACAATTTATGTCCTTTTTTAACCCAATTTATTCCTTAGCTGCAGATATTTTGCTATTAGCCTTGTGAAGTTACTACTACTTGCTCTTAATATCCATTTGCATCATTTTCCCAGTTTTTTCCTGTGTAGTCTCTGTGTGCTGATAAAGAAGACACCAACTGTGTAACATCAGATTTGGTTGCTGTGGAGGGACTCTGAATAACAGTAGCTTAAGTTACATAGGAATATTTCTCTCTTAGACAGCTAAGTGATTTTATATTGGCCGTTGGCAGCTGACATGGTAGCTCCACAGTATTAGGGATCCTGTTTAACCTGTTTTATTGCTCTGCCATTTTCAACACGTGACTTCCATTTTATTATTTGTGATGGCGGATCCAGCATGCCAATCAGCAGGAAGTGAAGAAAGGGAAGTGGAAGATTCC